TCTCGGGGGGGGGGGGGCAATCATTTCAATGAGGCCAGGACAATACGTTTGGTAATAGTGAAGCATTTCATTAAGATCCCTAGATGTGACAATCAATTCAAGTTCAAGCCAGTATCAAAATGTAAGCTCTAATTCCTTTCCTTTCTCATTGCCTTCCTACTGCGGGAAAAAAAACAACCTTCTGTTTTGCTGTAAGAGAGAAACAAGTTCTCATTTCACATTCTGTTTTTATTACTTTTTCTTTGAAAAGATGAGTTGACACCATGTTCCAGGTTTGGTTTTTAACTTCCAGGACAGATTAATTTCTGAAACTTAAGAACTGCTTTCCCAAATTTACTGGCTAAAGACTGCTTCTGTTACCGGAATATTCTAGACTGTGTAACGCACATTAACTTCGATTTTTGTTAACTTTATCCCATCTTCCACTGTTCTTTTTTTTTAAATTTTAGTAGGCTACAATTTTTAAATTATTGTACATATAAAAGTACTGATTTGTCAGGTCAGCCTATTTTCTCTCCTATGATAGCTCTGAATTTAGCATCCTTTTGGTGTTTAATTTGCAAAAAGCAATTTGTGTAAAATTAAAATTACTACATAGGTCAACAAATCAATAAATTATATTGCACTCAAAGGGTCTGCAGAGTGCAAGTGCAGATTTGGTTCTAATACAAATTCTGGAAGAAAAATATATCAAAGGCTAAACAGAAGAGATGCAAGCAAATAGCTGCACTGCAGCTAACTGAATTGCATTCATTACAAGTCAGTGTTTGAAAACTGCAAATCCTCTTGTCACTGTTGTAGTTTTAGTTTTTCCACACCCTGAAGTCTGAGAAGTTTATTCAGCAAAAGTACGGACTGTTCAAGTAACACTAGTCATTCATTTATTATCCAGCAGGTGGCATTCAAAGTATACTGGAAGCCACAGAGCTCTAAGAGCATGTGCCTTTTGCATGAGCCTTAGCTTCTAGAAGCAGAGAAAGCATTAAAAAAATCGTTCTTCCAAAATATTCTTTTGACTAATATTACATTAGATACCTAATGGATAAAAATAAATCAGATGTAAATTAAAAAAATCTTTAGAAGAGGTGGTTACTAATCTTGATTAGTAATTTTTAATTCAGTATTACAGCAAACTACTATGTACCAAGTAATTCACAGAATAGCACAGTGTAATCACTAAACCCCTCACTAATGGTCTGTCTACAGCATTCTATCTTTGTATGTATTCTATCCATCTTTTTCTATTAATATTTTATTCCACAGAAATGTTAACACTTAAACTGACACCCATGAGGTCAGAAAAATTCTATCAGACTTACCTGAAGAATGAATGGCTTTGCTCCTTTTCTGCATAACTTCCATTAATGCGCCCACAATTCCTGAGGTGGGTGCAGGTGTAGGTGGCGCACTCTCTTGGCCATCAGATACCTTGGAAAAAAAGGATACAAAGATGTAATTAGCAAAACAGTCCGTGTATTTCTAGACAAACTCTCCTTATAAAATTGATGAGCTTATTTTCAACCAGAAGGACGAGTGAAACTATAGTTTCAGTTTCCTTAGCTCAAGCTAGACCTATGCAAAAGAAGTCAGAAAGTCTTTTTTGCCAGGCAATTTGCGTATGGGCTAACTAGACTGGTATTAAATATTACAACTCATACATCAGGAAGCGAGTATAAAAGTACTGATTTGTCAGGTCAGCGTATTTTCTCTCCTATGATAGCTCTGAATTTAGCATCCTTTTGGTGTTTAATTTGCAAAAAGCAATTTGTGTAAAATTAAAATTACTACATAGGTCAACAAATCAATAAATTATATTGCACTCAAAGGGTCTGCAGAGTGCAATTAGAAAAGCTTCCTAATCTAACTGTACAGGCATAATGATTATATAGCCCTCCAATATTTTATCCCTTGTATATACCACAAAATATTCTTCTTGTCTGGGTTTGGTTAACCAAGTTTGTTTCGGATTGATAATCCCTTCTGAAAGTAATACAGACTTTGATACTGCACACCCGTACCGACAATTAAATATTTGTACACCCTCACACTTTTTATATCAGAAGTATCAAACGCAGAAAGCTGCAACAAAAAAGCAGAACTGAGAGTAGATGAAGATTTGTAACAGTAAAAATGCGAATGAGCAAAAAAACTTGTACTGAGCATCAGATTAGCTCCAGGTTGGATGAAAACTGTGAGAATAAGCAATCTAAACCAAACGTGTAAAGAATACAGTGAAGGATGGTGAAAAGTAATAACTGAAGAGAGACAAAGACATGAATTACACTTACAGAGTATGAAGGACTGAAGAAGGGACTGGGTAAAAGTGGTGAGAAAACAGAAGTTAAAGTATAGGAGGGAGAGAGACGTGGCCTATTCTTAAAGATATAAGAAAGTGTGGAGATATTTTCTCCGACTTCACTGTTAGAATAATCTCATAAATTTTTAAAAGCTAGAATAATTCAGACGAGCAAATCCATAAATTCTAGAAAACCTCACATTTCAGATCTCAAGGGCCAGAGAGGTATAAGTTATCTTTTGTATATCTACCACAGGTGTGCAGTGTGGGCTAGCTTAAGTTATTTCAAAAAAGAAATATGCAGCCTCAAGCATCTCAAACTGAAATAAGGTCTTGGACCTACATGTTTATCAGTAAATTACAGAATATTATACCATATTAAATATATTTCCTCCTCCCACTCCCTTTTTTTGTTTAAAGTTTCACAGCCTTTGTTTTCCTTGCCAACAGTATTTCAGTGACCTGGACACATCAGTAAGTTTGCTTACATAAGGAACACTCAATACTATGACTGCTTTCAATATTTCTGCAGCTTTTGCAGCACAAAACTTTTCTGTGCAGACTTCAAATTTGTTAAAAGATACATACGCCTAAATACACAGTGATTACAGGAAGAAGTTCTAGATTTACAGACTACAGCATGCATAATCTGCTTATAAAAAGTATTCCGTCACCTGCAAAGAAAATTAAGAGTTTCTGGTATTTATGACTGCACTAGGACTAGAAGGGCAGCTGACAGGGTTTGGGAAGATGTTGACTTCCTCGCTTTACAAAAACCAATGATCTTGAATCCTCCTTCCTGTTCCCCTTCATATCCCTTCTACAACCATACTAATTACTGATCAGTCTTTTAGGAGTACTTGCAATTTGGTGTTATCAATGCAGTATTTCTGGTTTATTTTACTGTAATGTTAGAAGTGGATCACCTTCCAGGTACAACATCCTCTAGAAGTCAGCTGCCAGGCTCTCGGGCCAACTTACTACTATGAATACATTTTATACAACCTATACGGTAGAGTTACCTTAACAGCACTCCTGTACCTACAGGCAAAAATTACCTTGTAGATATTCAGTGACCTAAAGAACAGATCAAGTAATACCCTGAGCCACAGCAGGAACAGCAGAGGTACCCCCCCGTGGGGGCAGGCAGCCACTTTCTTACAAGTCTCAACGTTTACAGAGCTCAGGTCCCTTCGAAGATGACAACAAGTCACCTAGTAATTGCTTTACAATACCATTACTGCTGAACCCATTCCCTGCATTTGTTTAGACTTCATTGAAGTATTCAAGAGACCAGCCATCTTTGCATAGTAGTTATTGCAAAAGTTCTTAAAAATTAAACTTAAAGCTTTACTGAAAAGTGAGAAGTGAATTTGAAATGAGAAAAAAAAAAAAATCATGTATCAATACTTGTCTAGCCAATGTACTTTCTAGGCATTTTTCCAGTAGTATTGTGAAGTCTCATTTTAAAAATTATAGAAAATATGATCCAGCGCAAAACAGAGAGCCACAAGTTACTGTTCACGCTGTGGTACTCTAGCCATTTGCAAGTCCCATTAGGGACTTAGATGAGAAACAGCTTTACTTACAGATTTCAGTTGTATACCCTGTCGTATCTGGTCTAACAGTGCATCTCTTCCTGAGCAGGACACTGGTCGACTGTTCTGTTCTACCTTCTTTAACTGAGCACCTTCTCTGATTTGATCTAAGAGTGCTGCTTTGTTTCCTGGAGGAACTGGAAGCTGGTTGTCAACCTCTGTATGAAGACCTGGTGGTGGAGGAGGACCAGGAGGGGGTGGAGGTGGAGGTGGAGGCGGGGGCACAGATGACCCACTTGCTGGTGGTGGTGGTGGTGGAGGAGGGCCAGATGGTGCAGATGATGAATGCACTGGTGGTGGAGGAGGATTCATCCTGTTTGGAGGAGGCGGGGGCACTACTGCACCCGGTCTAGATGGAGGTGGGGGTGGGGGTGCTGCTGTGGGAGCTCTTGAAGGAGGTGGAGGTGGTGCCCCTCGGCCCCTAGCAGGTGGAGGAGGAGGGCCCGAGCTATGGGGAGGTGGTGGTGGAGGTGGAGGGGGTCCTCCTCTGCATGGTGGTGGTGGAGGTGGAGCTGAAACAGAACAAGACAGAATATAGAGTTACATACTACCCAATACTCTTCCGTATTCTGGAAATTCACAGAAAGAGCTAAAAAGATTTTTTTTTTTTTGGTTAATAAAGACAGGCCTTGCCTTTTACAAGGATCTCTGTGCCTGTGCAAGTTCTACCAATCCTGGATTAAGCTGAAAATAGCTGAAGATAAACTGCACTTATATGAACATAAGCTAAGCAGAATACAGTCCCTATGTCTCTGTCATGTATTTTGAAAGCACAGAACCAATACTGCAGAGAACAACTGCCATATGTAAAAAGAATACTACGTCACAAAGTAAGCTGTATCTTTCATTTTGGGGGGGGGGGAGTGGGAGGAGGGAAGAAGGGGAATCTTACAGGAGTAATTTCCTTCATCATCCAAAGTATACCTTAAGTTTTCAGTTTCTCATGACAAAACGTGCTAAGATTTCAAAAGAAACCGACAAAATTTTGCTGAACTGCAACAGAAGGGAAGGGGAAGGAGAAAGGTGTTAAAACAACATTTTAAAGGAAGTATACAGAATGTCCACTCTGTACATTATCCATTAATTTATATTGGAATTATTGAGGGAAACATTTTTTGAAGCATCACCTTCCAGTAATTAAAAAAACAAAATTACAAGTGTGTTAGTATTAGGAGAAGGTGACATACAATGTCAAGTACGCTATACTCAATGTACGCATCCACATCCTTAAGCAGCACCTGGCAGCAAACAGTGAAGTAGTACTGCTGATACAGCATCTCAAATTACAGACGACAGGGGACATTCAGAAAGACTAAACTTTGATTTACTGAAGTTCATTTTCCTCAGTAGGCAACAGCAGAGAGAAGCTGTTACAAAACCACATCTCTCCATTGACTAGTGCTTCATTAGAGTAAAGTTGCCTTCACATGTCACTCCAAGATTGCTTTTTTGTGTCATGTAAAGTACTTCCCAAATAAATGCTTTTAGTACCCTAACTAGGCAATAAACTTTCTTCCACCCTGTACAGGTTGTTGAAAAGGCCCTTTTTAAAACAAAAATAACATTTCTGAATGAGTAGTAGATCATTTATCTCGTTAATAGTATGAGCATTTAAGTTTGCCTCATTGTAGTAACTCATCCTGGTGTTCCTAAAAACCTGTTTTATGAGTTACTGGAAAATATACACGGACCATTTTTCTTACAATTTTGCATCTATATTTTATTCTAGATATTTGGATAGATTACAATTAATCTTGAAGAAACTGGTAAACATTAACAAAAATATCTTTACTCAATCTTTATTTTGCTAGAAGTTACTCCGAGCCTTTCCCTCGGATTTTACACCTGCAAAATCTGGTGAAATATATGAAATCCTCCCTGTAAACTCTGATTCTTTTACTGAATATTAGTTCCAACAATATGGTTATGTAAAAGACCGTAGAAAGAATACAACTTTAGAGAAACCTCAGCATGTAGGGTCATTTCTATACAAGTTTGCATTGAAACGTACTTCCTCTGCTAATAGCATTTTAAATAGCACAATTCGATTTATTCTTCCATTAAGTATCTAATGGCTTGTGGCACTATAGTTTGTGTGGTTGTTTCATATAACTGTTTAGTAATATGACTGTGCCTGGATTATTAAAAATCACATTCGATTTCATATGCTTTGCCCTCAAGAAAGGTCCTCGGGAAAGATGCTTTAATTTTACCTCTTCTATTATCCTCTTCCCGTTAACGGCTGAGAAAGTAACCTGTCTGCAACGGAACAGAGAGGGGAAATCCCTGAAAAAGGAAACTTGAAGTAGGAAACATCAGGGCCTCCGTCCCTGCATTTCACACAGAAAGGCATACCCCTCTTAAGTGTCACGTTCCTAAGTTTCATATAAATTTCTCCTCTATTTTTCCCCACCGCCTCAAAAAATACAAGTAGAGAATCTCCTCTCAAACTTTACCTTCATACATTTTGCTATAAAAAAATATTACCAACATTCTTGAAAGGAAAAAGTTACTTTTCAGTTGACTTGAACTTAATTTCCTTCTTGGCCATTGGGGGCAACTGTTTTCAAATATAACCTATTCAGCAAGTAATACATTCTTCTGGATTATTGAAAAGATAAACAACTCGGCCATGCTCCAGAATCTGTAATATCTGTAAATCCTGAATATGTGTTTTCCTGAGGGGAAGGTTTTATTTGCATCGTATCCAGAGAAATATGTAATATCCAAACTGTGGAAACACAGTTCAGGAGTTTTTATAAGGCTTATTTGCACTTCAACTGAGAAATGAAAAGAATAAAGATTCGATATCTTGTACTGGAGTTCGCCCCCACCCACCCAGCCCTAGCTATAACATCTGTAACAACAAAGCTTTGCTCTCCTTTAAGCAAGGAGGAAACACTGTTACTGCATCCTCTCTATCCCATCTTCTAGACCCTACAAGTGAAGGGGAAAAAAAAGTTTCATAAATGCAAATTAATCTGAACATGGGTATTAACAAAGCAGCTGTAAAGTCTATTGACAGTATTATCACAAAAAAAACCAACCAGCAGAACCAAAGATAGAGAGAGGGTAGGAAAAACAAGTAGTAAATTCTGTTTCAATAGAGCAATAAATTGTCTGTGACTCTCTTCAGCATCTGAGCAGGCTGAATACTCAAGCACAGAAATTCTTGCAACAGAACACAGGAAAATGCGTTTCAGTGGAAAAACAGAACACTTCAAACAGCAGTCAACACTACACACCACCTAACATATTCCTGGATAAAACCACTGAAATAATGAATTTAAAACTTTTAGGAGCATTGATCTACCTCTACCATAAAGCAAAAGCCCAATCTTACTCATCATGCACATTAAAGACGAGGCAACTAATCTTTCAATTGCACACATGCAAAGTGGTCATAACTTGAAGTTAATGCATACATATTAGAAAAACTATAATTTTTAAAGTATTTTAAACTAGTCGTAGGACTCCAAGGCAAATCTTCTCAATTTAACAGTCTTGTGATTAGCAGTGTGATATCGAGAACTCTGTACACATTTAAACTGAGTTAAGATTATAAAAAGAAACTGACTGACTTGTTACTTAACGAGACAAAAAGTAAGACTTCAAATTTTGCTTGCAATTCAATTAACAAAGAAGTTGGACTGATATTTAGTATCACAGTCAAACAACGTGGACTAAGGCTTCTTATCTATTAGGAAAGAATCACACAGTTGCAGCATGAATAGTTTGAAACATATGCTTGGATGCCAGCTCAAATACATACCACTCCAACGTGGGGGACCTAAGGAATAAACGTAATAAATTATTGCACCCTGAACGTGCATCTATTCAGGCACTAGAGGCAACTTATTCATCAGTTTGAAACGGCTATAATTTCAACAGCTTTTATATCCTGCTTCTTCTGAAAAGTGTTCTAGGCAATCTTCTCAAAGTTTGATATTGGCAGTGTAATTTGCAGACTGACTTGCCATGTTACAGTAGATAATGCGTCAGCTGAGAACGCATGTAAACATTAGGCTGGAAATGCCTTGTTTTAGAGTTTTCTCACAGCAGAAACCTTAATCAGACCACTCTGATCAAAAAGCAGTACCTTTTTCTTTAAATTATGGGGGGGAGGGTGGAAGACGACCACCCTTTGGTTTCTTTAACCCTCTGTATAAAATTTGAAGGCCTCTAGCCATTGCAAGGCATATTACACAGTGCTGCTAGGGTTAAATGGGCACCACACATACTTGTCAGCCATGTAATTACCACTACAACTGAAAATAGTAATATTGCTTTTAAGATTTTAATTTATTTATGAGACGGAGACTATAAATAAAATTTACATTTGCAGTCTGAAAAATCCATATGAAATAAACTGCATGGCTCTGCAGTCAGTAAAGCATTACTGGAAGTTACTTAACTGACATAGAAAAGATCTTTATTCTTTAGAAGAAAGTACTCTCATGCACAGACTTTTTTTTGTTTTTCCATAGCGTATGATGTACAGAAGCATTACAAAATCCATTATATCTGCAGCGACATGAAGTCCAGAGAAGAATATCAGAAACTGATTATCATCAACACCGTTCAGTCCAACTCTTAAGGCAAAATAACCCCTGCAAAATCTGATGTGGAAGTAAAAGGAAGCCCACCTTGTCTACGCAGCTCATTTTTAACAGCTTCCACACCTCCTGTTTTTTCAATGAAATCATAGATGACCTTTGAAGTTTCTTTGTCTTTCAGTTGAGCCTCTGAAATTCCACACATATCAAACAGGTTTTTCAACTCTGGGTCCAAGTTGTTCACCTGCAAGTTAAAGACGTTAGTTCCGAGCACATTGAAATTGACTTTTTTTTTTTAAATTTATATTGAAAAAAATCCCTGTAACGAGGAGGAACAGCAAAACACAAAAGCCCATCTTTCCAGGTTGAATTTTCAGTCAGAAACGACTATTTTAGGAGTAGGATGTAGCTAGTACAAAAACGTAAGTTTTGCTAGTTTTCCCCTCAATCCGAAATCCCTGTTCCCTTTTGTTCCTCCACCATCTTTCTGTGTTTGAATTAATTAACAGAAACAAAGCAAGTAAAAATCACGTGATGTTCAGTTAACTTTTATTTGATGCCAATCTTCAACCACTGAAGTTAAAAAGCCTCTACACCTTTTAGCCATTTAGTAAGTTGAACAACGTATTAAATTACTTACATCAAAACCTGTGTTTGGGTCCCAACCAACATGTCCAATGTGTCTAAAAAAAGCAGAAAAGTCCATTTAATCCACAGAGTAAAAAGGATTCTGTTAACTAAAATAATTGTTATTTTAAAATAACAATTTTAAAAGAAGAAAATAACAGCTAGATATCTGGATCACTACCTAGCTTCTACCTCAAACTCAGACATATCAGTGCCCGACTTGTGAAGGGAATAACAACACTTCCCTTCTCACTTTTTGTCTTGCGAGAAGAAGAAAGCGGAGAAACCAATTTTCCCCTTAGGTTATATATAGTCTGCGTTAAAAAGTTAAGGCTCTATACCATCCTGCAATGCATACTGATACTAACAGAAAGGCTGCACAAAGACCAAGGAGAGCATCTGCCTAGGTCTTTAATGTCACTTGGCTGGAATCCTCCTCCTCCTCTCTCCCATCACTGTTTGCTCTCTAACCACTTTCCTGACATTGCTCCCATTCACTTTGTTTTTTCAGAGAAATAAAATAAGTACAATTTTCAGTTGCCATCTTCCTAGGCTTCACTCCAATCTCCCTTACTCCCTTAAAATTCTAGTACCTACTTCATGTGGATATTAAAGAATTACTTTATTTGATGCTCTAATCAGCTAAAAAGGCAGCAGAAGAGTTTGTGCCTCTCCAAGCTGCTTCATGCAATTGCCTGTTGGCTACAGAAGACAGAACTGTACTATTATTAGCATTCCATATTTTGAGTTTCTTCTTGCCAATGGTTAGTTCTACAAAACCAAGATGCTGAGACTTCAGAAAGTCCAGCTGAGCTATAGGAAGACCACGTGAGCTGTTACTAGCCAGTCTAGCTTAGACGAATCTTGCCAAATTGCAGGGAGTGTCTTGCTATCTTTTACAGTGCCTAACACAACGGATGTTAGATCCTGGCTGGAGTCTGTTACTGCCACCACCGTACAAGTTTCCTTCATGACAATGCTGTTCTGTGTTCAGTTTCTGGTCTTGGTATAACTATGACTAGTTGACTTCTTAGCTCACGGGGTAAGAAAAGGAGAAGGTCTAGTTTAAATATTGCATTATGCTACAGAAAAGGCAGAAAGGGAAGCCCTCTGCTTTGCTTAAATAATTAAGTTAATATAATTCAAATATATGAAATTCTATTTAAATGGAGGGCATATTAAATACATTGCGTTACCAAAACATGGGCAGACTTACTGCTACGGTATTATTTGGGATGCTAAGATACAGCTGGCTTTGTGTAAATTAGATATGCATTTCCAAATATAAACAGTCTCAGATCCATTTGTAATGTATTACCTCGTATAGGCAAGCTAACAGAAATTTACTAGCAAATATACCCCTATAGCTATCTCTCTGCATACCCGTACATTTCATAATGTTCTTTTAAAAGCTTGTGAGCATGAGACTATTAATTAGAGAGTATTAGTGCACTTTACTGATATTAAAGTTCATATGAAAGTAATATGTTAACATTATTTCCTCATTTTCCATTCCTCAAAGGCAGGAAAATAAGTTACTTGTACACCCTGACCACAACACTTTATGCATTGCGACTAAAAAACTTCCAGAAATATTTGTAAGGTAACCATAATTCCTGTGTTATTTTTTAAAAAGTGTATACAGCAGTAAGTTATATTAATGTTAAGTACAGTTTGACTTCTTTGAGCTGCTCAGAACAGTGAAAGTCCACAAGTGGATAAAAAGAGGAATTTAAAAAACTGTATTTACTGATTACCTCTTTGATCCAGAATAGAGAACATGGACAATTTTCACCATCATCGGTATCACAACTCAAGTTACATACAACTTCAATTGGTATATTCCCCTAACAATCCCAAAAGCTATTTTTCTCCTACTTGTATAAAAATTGTAATTAAAGTGTCTTATACACTAAAGCTACATTTAGCTGCACTTTATAGGAAGCTTAACTAGAACTTAAGAGGAGAAGAAACAACCCACACATTTTCAAGCAGCTTTTGCAAAGGTCCACTACATACAATTTCAAATTACATTTAATGTCAGTCTGTATACAAATCTTGACGTGAACTAGAATGCATCCTTTGTTTGAACTTCATTAAATATTTTATCATCTTATTCTCAGCTTTTCTAGGATGACTTTAATATTTTTATGAGTGCACATTAAGCGTTCCACAATTGTCAAAGCCTGACAGGCATTACAAACAAAAGTCTCAAACTCAGTATATGTATCTGCGCTGCTTTACACTCCTCGTACAGTTCTGATCAGAGGCAAGGTACCTTAATGCAAATTGTGATTTGCAGTTTTGCCTGCACGCACTACAAGTCTTCATCAATACAGCTACAGTAGTGACCAACTACCAGTCATTACGCAATCTTCCTTACAGATTAAGTCTCACTTTCTTATTTTCTGCATTTTCCAGTATTAAGTGACATTACAAGATGCAGTGTTTCAATTCTCGGAAGAACGCAGCTGATGTCTGAATTGTCTAAGCACCACCTGGTCAGGGATGTATTTTAGCCTCTTTTTTTATTTTCTGTCCTCTGCCCTGTTCTACAGAACATTATCTCAAAACACTATAATAATAATAATACTATAATTATTATAAAATTACCGTAACTGGTAACGCTAGCATTATTTTACAGAGTTTTACTCTAGGAAAGCATATCAGCGTAAGAGATGCAAAAGCATGCTTCAAAAGAACAGGATATACTAACCTGGGATGTAATCCTCACTGATTTTCTAAGACTTCAAGGAAACTGATCTTTCCTCTAACTAACTCAAACTTTTTATTTTTTTTAAGCAACAGGAATTTAAAGTACACTTATTTTAAAATGCAGAAGATCAAATCATCAAATTACAGCTCAAAAAACCATTGCCAATTCAGTAAATTGAGGCGGAGCTTTTCAAAATAACATCTTCAATTTCTAAGAACAGATATCACGTAAGAAACGTTAGAAAACAAACCCAACTGATTCTTAACAGGTATGCCCATGTAAACTGTACTTTCATCACAAGATACATGTGCTAGCCTACGTCCCAGAATAAGAAACTGTACAAATAGAAAGCCAAAGATAACAATATGACTATAGTTTCCGCTAGCATGCCAAGTTAAAACCAGCATGTACATTTTGTACAACAACGTACAGCTATGCAGGCATAGCCTAGGAATGACGATATTAAAAAGTAGATCACTGAGGCTGTTAAAGATGCCTTGGTTAAGTGGTCAGTTTATGGAGCTAAGGTGTCTTCTAAGTTACTTTAGGATAGCAAGTTACTTTGTTTTTGTTTAGAACTGAAGTAAACTCTTCACCTGTGTCCAAAGTAACTTGCTTTAAACCTCACAGCACGCCAACTCATACTGGCTATAGTTGAGATGACACAACAGTCACACGTTTGCATGTGTAACTGACAAAAATCTCAAAAAAAGTCCTTACTGGAAGTTAGATGGTGTTCCAATATCTGCCTTTGTCAATCTTTTCTTTTTAGTTTTTCCTTTCTTCTTTTCTTTGGTGTATGAAATATTGTTGACTTGCGGAGTATAAAATCTGTTAGTTGTAATTTCTGGGTTTTTGATATCAACAGTTGCCATTGGCAGATTTGGACCTGTGAAGAGAAAGTATGAGACCTTTATCACTGTGTTTCAACAAAGCCATATTTAACCTATTAACTGTCCCCCTCCCCTTTTTGTTTTGAATGGGAAAATACCTGTACTGTAGCCATTGTTCTACATGCCACAGGTATCTGAGTTCTGGATGTCAGAAGTATAAACTAAATTATTTGCTGAAGAAAAAATGTTGTTACAGCAGAGCAATGTCAGAACAGTTTTATAAACTGGAATATTTTTGCAATAATTTTTTGCAAATTTGGCCAAGGAAATAATTTCTTAATTTGAAATTAAGATTTGTACAGAATTCATGGATTTTTATTCATTAGAATAAGAAACATTAACGTATGCTTGTACGCAGAAAGAAGAGTAGCTACAATCCTAGATATAGGTACTCTGAGTTCCATAAAGAAAACAGCAACACCACAGCGTTGGCAGCACAGTAAACTGATCTTAAAGAAGATCTTTTGCTTAGCAAGCATCAAACAGGAATGATTTCTCTCATAGCACGCAGAACTTAACACAAAAACTTCACACTGCACATAGACTTCACTCTGTGTATACTATCAAGTCCTTGAAGCACCAGCGTATTTATAGAGCTATTCAAGATTCCTCATTTCTCATTCTTTGACAGGTTTGCAAAATAGTCAGACTCAGACAAAAACAGAGCTTGAAGAGTACTAGCAATAAAAGCAGCACTGGAAACACAATATACACATTCAAATTATGAATTAAGTTCTCATACCTTATTCTTCTTTGAGATAAACAATTCCAAATCACTAACTTAGTTATTTCAAATGCACCTGAAATATAGCTAGAATGCTAAAATTTGCAGGAGTATATCTATTACTTACATAATAGTAGCAAAGAATCATACCCAGCATGTTTTCCACTCAGATTTTTTGTTTTGACTGAAGATAGCTCTTAAGCATGTGATGGCAGGATATAAATACTAAGAGGCAATTTAAGTACATTGTTCATAAATATATATAAAATATATATACACACATACATACACACAAACGTGTATGCGTGTGTTTTACACCCTTCAAAAAAGAAAAATACTGCTAGGATAAGCAATCTCATTTTTCCAAAATTGAAGCCATCTTCCACTCCCCTCTGAGTTGCTACCCAATGGTCAGTAAGTCAATTAAAACATTTTATCTTAAACTCAAGCCTCCAGGCGTGTACTCAAGTGGACAAGAAAAACATCTGTTAAGACTTTGGTGAAGCAGAACCTTATTTTGACACACTCTATTCACAACTGCATTTTGATTGGAGTACTCGGTCATCCTAAACTTTCTGAAGGGACCAACAAGCCTTAGATTTCACAGTCTAGACCCTGAATCAGAAAGAAGCAGGCACTGACGCTTGTATTTTAACACCTCAATAGGAAGTGCCTAGTATTGACCATAATAGTAAATAAGAAGAGAAACAAGACACTGGGCTAGGCAAAGCTCATCTAAAAATGTATGGCAGCTCCTACGTTCCACTAAGTTCGAGGACAAGTTTTAAAACTGCATGAAAACGACACAAGGACCAACAAGTGTTTTCTGCTAAGCAGCAATTACACAGCTAGAAATGCTACAATCTAGACAACTGTCTTCTGAGTACTAAAACACAAATTGACCATGTATTGCTATGCACAGCAATTTGTATACAACACTTGCAATTAGCAGTAAATTCACTAATTTTCCAACACTATCAACCCAAAACTTAACAACGTGCAGTTAAGTACATCTTCAGCGTAAACTGACAATTACCGTCTTTACTTCATTAGCTTAACATGAAACATGGTAGCAGTTCATTTTCCATTTAATCATTGATTATACTTTCTCACTACTATGGATATTCGCAGTTTCAAGGTATACTAAAACTTAAAATGAAACACGTAAACTGCCAGCAAGTTCTCCATATTCTCACAACTTCTGACTTTTCAAAATATGCCTTGCTTTTTGCATGCAAAGTCCTAAATTAACCATAAATGGCTAACTATGTGAGGAAAGCCATTTTCAAAATGAATTTTTATTCACCTGAACTCAATCTAAGGGCCCAATTCCTTGATACTAATAATATTCTTTCTAGAGATCACAGAAAGATCTTTAAGATAAAGTTATTCTTACCGTCAGCTTTAGATCTTAGATGTCCATGAGGGATATAAGAACCTTGAAAAGAATTATGTTCTTCTAGAACTGCCATATTTATATCCAGTAAAAGTTTCCCCATCATAATACATGCACCTTCCCCATCAGGTGTAGACAGCTCAATAAATGAAGATGAGAGAGGCATATAGAGCTCATCATTAGGAAGTACCTGACAATACAGCGGCTTTAAGCATCCACCGTTACCAACATCTGCGATATCCTCAGAAGGGGCTCCAGAAAACGTGGTACAAAACATTTTGAAATATTTTCTATTTTATAAAATTCCTTGACTTTTAGAACTTCTCTAGGCATCTGTCCCAGACTACAGACAGCCCTAGAATAAGTGTAAACTGTTCTAGTTAACAGCTGAGATATATTTGTCACATGATTTTTAGAGATTTCCTCAAAGCTAGTTCTCTGACAAATCCTTCTTTCATCCGGAACTTCACCAAGAGGTCAGTTCAACCACAACAACTCCTCTTTATTTGCATAAAGAGGCCTCGTCATTACAGATGAGAGTAGAACATAAATCCCAGGAAATTAAAGGCTAATACACTTTACATAACTGTTAATGCTAATTTGATTTAATCCTACAATTCTAAGGGGGAGAAAAAAAAGTAAAACTAAAAGACTTAAATCCATACCATTGAAAAGATCAGACAATAAAGTGTTTTTCCCACATAGCTCTACGTTTACCTCAACATAGGCAGAAAATCCAAACCTCAACTAAAACAAAATACTCCACAGCACTTCAAGCATGGATCATGCGATTACAGAAACGTGACTGTTCCCGTTTATCAGTTTTAAAGTAACTATGTATGTATACACAGTACAGGGAAAACAAAACAAAACCACCCCCTCCCACAGGTAACCCATTTGTTTTTTTTTTAAATAGGATTTCACTGTACACAAAAAAACAGCTTACCCTGCAAGAGGTTTTTCTTCAGTTACCCAGACAGTATATTTCTGTTCTAGTCCAAGTTGCAAGTACTGAAATGAAGGCCATCATCATCTGAGGCTATCACCTACATCCCAAGCATGTCTCATCTGAGACTACAGAGGGCACGAATACAGCTAATCAAACCTCAAGTTCCCTTACCAATAAAGCAGCCAAGCGTTACAGAACTCAAGGAAATCATAAAAGGAAGGTAGATAGTTCTTGAAGAAACATGGACATCCTTGATCACTAAAAAACAGAGCTTTGACTAGTGATTTTAAAGCATAAACACCGGGCATAAACTTATGTCTTTCATAGAATAATTCAGTGTAAATGCATATGATCAAAGCATGTAAATTTAGTTCATCAGTATGCTTCCCCTCAAAGAAGGGGCTGTTGCCAGAGCTACGACAGGATGAATTAGGGAGACTACCAGTTATATTTTCAGTACAAAAGTTTTCACACGTTTAGTTTTCTTAAATCTTATTCCAGTCAAAGATATAAGTCAGAAAAATGATTTGTTTGTGTTATTTCAGGTAAACATTTACAGTAGAGACAAAAGCTTTTTTTTTTTTTTTTTTTTTTTTTTTATAATGCTATATACAGTGTCACAACTACTGTTTTTCTTTCTCTTCTACCCTGCAGAAACTGCTATCAGGAAGATACTCTTTAGGTGAGGGGAGGCAAATGTTGCTCAAAAGGTAGAACCATTACAACCTGAAGTTTCTCTCAGGAAACTCAGAGAATCATAGACTGGTGCTACCACAAAGTAACTGAAGAAATCCAACTTAACAACGGATATCAGAAAACCTGGGCTAAACTGGAGTTACCAAGACCACTGCCTGAGCTTCCTTAAAACTTAGTGTTTATCGGAACAGAAATGTTCATTTTTTTGAGAGGTATTCTACACTGTGAGGCTTTAGTTGGAAATAAAGGACATCAGCAGTTCCCATAAGTCAGGATTAGTTAGGAATCACCTACTTCTGAGACCCGCTGAGATGCCTGGACATCTTGGTTAGCATAAACTTAAGACCATCTCCTCAAGTCTGCGGGTTTAGGGACTGAAGACTACTCCTCCTCAGGGTTTAGGGACATCGGACAATCAGTTGATGATAACCTTGCTCAAGCAGCTAACTAACAGACATGGCAATATGGCTTATGCTGGGGATCACCAAGAGAAACATTACAGGTTAAATCACTTCTTAGTTCCAGTGTTGGTTCATAATGAGATCAAAGACTTTAAGCTTGATATTCAGTAATGTACATCTTTCACTTGATCTTGGAATAAACAGTAACATTTTTTGATCAAAGGGACACTTGATTTCGATTCCTTCCATCAGTTTAGTGATGGCAGGATCGCCTAAGGAGCCTGCATCTTCATATTAGTGAGATGTATTCCCGAGAGGCAAATACAACCTTTTAATTTCAGCAAAGTTTTGTATATCAGCCTTATTTCCTGCTGGGTCTTCAGAATACATGTATATGAGATACAAAGCCTTCTTCACAGTGTAAGCTGAAGGGCTTCTGTTCTGCTTGCAACAAAATATGCTCCTCCAAAAACATACCTTACAAGTGCCAGCTAAGCCACAAATCTTCCAAGCAAGAACTAAACAAATACCAAAGAACAGAAACAAAACAAATATACTAACCTCCAGAATACAAATTTACTGCTTTCTCCACCACACAACTATCCTGAACAAGTGTAAAGCAAAGCTATATACTAACAGTAACCGACAGAATTGAGAAAAAAATAAAATGAATAAAAAATAAATTGCAGTGTGATTCATGCAAAAAAGCTTACCATTTGGTGGGTCTCGTCTTTTTTCTGTTGAAAGAAGAAAAAGAGAGCTATTTATTCATTGGTATCACTTGAAATTTTCCTTCTGAATTTTACTTTTATAATGAAGCTCTCAATGACCTTGAACTCACTCTTAAGAGCCTAAGAACATCTTTAAAGCCTATTTATTACTCAACAGAAACAACAAAATTAAGCATTACAGAACTGTAAAAAACATCTTAGAAATAAGCACCAATTTGAAGTGAGCAAACTAAATAGGTACATAAGGAAATGGTTGAGTTTCAGATGTTTTGAATACTTCACCAAATTTTGGAGTCAACAAGCAGCTTTCAAATGACTTCATTTTGATACGACCTATCAACATAGGATTTCTAAATAACATGTTACACTTTCTGATTACCAGTGAATGAGACAGGTCCTTCATTTTAATTTGAAATATAACAGCACGTGTATACGGTGATGCTCTCCCATAGGCGCCAAAGCACCTCACAATTATTTTTAAGTGTGAAGAATAAGACAGAGGGGCAAATCACTTTACCTATGTTACTTACCAGATAACTGAAAAACAGGGAACAGAACTCCTAAGTACTAATCTAGCTATTTTATTCACTAAGCCAAACTGTTTCACTGAGCACGAAGAATTTGGTTTGACATGTTAGAACGTAGTTGCAAACATTTCACACCTCAGGACTCTCAGGCACTCCTGTCAACTTATAAGGAAACTCTCCTTTCAAAGTGATTTCTCTCACTTCCTACTCATTGCTACTCACCTCAAACATTTACCTACCTGCAATCATCCTTCAGGACACATAGTCCACAGTTACCTTTACGCTATATGCATACTTACACCTGCGTTCTGAAAATTTTTGGGTTTAGCAGTACCCATATGGGCAAGCACAGCTTATCATCTCCCACTGCCACACAACATGGCTCCATAACAAATATGTACATCCTCCCTTCTAAATTCAGAGTATCTAGAGTCTAACAGAGACTCCAAAGAGTTTTGTAATAAGAGGAATTTTTAACTGACATTTCACTCTTCAGCAAGTCCTAGTCTGAAACTGTCAACCCATTATATTTTTCAAGACACAAACACGGTCCTTCCCCAAAGAAGGGAGCAGGCATCTCCAGACTGTTTTGACCCGAAACAAAACCAACAAAATCCACCCCACACCTAAGTACGCAAGGCAATTTGACCTAGTATTCTGATCTTCAGGCAGGAGTATAAAACACTTGAAGGTCACAGAATCTTCATCAGATGAATATGACCAAAAGCCTCTGAGATTTGTCTTTGGCTGAGCACACCTTCCAAGGATAGGTATTTGCCTCATAGCTTACAGCAGAGCTTAGTTTCAAGCACAGAGATGGAAGGCCTCTGCAAGAAATCCTCAGTAAAAGGCATCAGGTCTGGGGGACAAAACGGGGCTTTTTACCCGACACTGTGCTTTCTCTCCCTGAGCATATACAGGGTAAGAAACCACTCCTGCTGGACTGCCAAAAAGACTGCTCAACTTTTGGAGCACACTTACAGTCCTCTCCAGGAAGCAACAACTCAGAGACAGCAAAGGAGAGCGTAGGATTGAGAGCAAGTCATCTGGCACAGGACGGGATGCTGGCAAAAGCACTAGGCATTCATAGGAAAGATTGAGTGGCCTTGTGCTAAATCAAGGAAAGCCATTACAATTTTCATTAGGAGAAATAGAACTCAAGAGATAAAGTAACAGAAAACAAAGCAAGACATTTTAAAAACTTTTTCCAGTAATTTTTGCTGGGTGTATACAAGAAGGTTAATCTGCAGCTGAAAGCTACTAGCTCTGTTTTTCTACAGTTGCCACTGCAGACCAGAAAATAGGATTTCCTGTTCTGAAGTGCAGAAGACCTGACTGGAGAGTGGCCTCAAGAGTAGACACTCTATCACAGTAATTTCTCTTCTTTTGAAGATGAAGATGCCTATCGATCCAAAAAGAGGTATCAGCTGCACCAATTACCCATGTCTGAGAAACGCAATGATCCCTTCAATAAGTATTCCTGGAAACGAGAGGGATCTCTGCTAAGACTTGAACCCACGCAAGCTGAGCACTTCAGAGATACGCTCGTCTCCCAGGTAGTAAAAACGAAAGCTGTGACTAAAGAGTCAAAAGATGCTCTCCATATGCAGCATCCACTCTGAAGTTCCTGAAGGGCATCAGGAGCTAAAGCTCCCATGGTAAGCAGGGAGCTTCAGAGAGGGCTAACGAAGCTCCCACCCGAGAACTGCAAGCTGTAAAATTAGCTGAGAACTGAAACCTTCTTCTACCTTAAAGGCAGTTACGAACCAAGGCTGAAGACTTTGTTGCACTCCTATGGCAAAGTGCTCAGCATGTGGAGAGGACACGCCTTGTATGGGAACATATACATTGATATTCCTGATGCAAAATAAACAACAATAAAAGAACTAATGGTTTCTGTGCGTAGGTATACCTGAAGTGTGAACGTACCACACTGACAAGCTCCAAGAGAAACGTTGTGTAGGAGGAACTATTTGGGATCAGTTTTTAAGAATTAAGGGTAAAGACCATTTAGGTAAGTCCAGATAAATTAACTGATTATAGTAATTTCTGCCTAAGGCTAAGAATCTAATTTTGATCTTTGTTTAAAATCAGAACTTAGCTAGATGAAAACCAGATTGATATTTAACATATAAAGACCTCACCTCAACCATTTTCTTCTCCTTCCTCTCTTATTCTGTTCTCTGCTACACCCACCCCATAAATACACTGCTTTTGTACGTTCAGTGTGGACCTATACTTTCACCTCTGTGTAACTCCAGATGCACTTACTCTAGAGCTGTCTGCACACTGGAGTACATTTCATGCACAGTGAAGAGGAGCAGAAAACTGGCCTCCTTTGGCAGCTGTTGGATGATATTTTGCACACTAGCCTCAACATCAAGTCGTAGCTTTCTGAAGCAGCATTGTTGTTCTTGCTTACTCCCAATGACAAGGGCTTTCCAAAAGACTCCTGGAAAAATCTCTTATGGTAATCTCTTACCAATCTCTGAATGGTAAAAGATGCTGCTAAGTGATCACATAGAGTACTCTTTTCAGTAGAAAATAAGTCAGGTGGCACCATGACGAAATCAAATATATTCTGGAAGACACAGGAGTGAGAGGAATGCCCTTTTAATAGAAAGGGCATCAACTACTTCTATGTTTGAGAAGTTAAGATGCACTAAGAAGCATTATGCCAATTTGCAAATCAGGTTATGACTTGGGTTAAGTGTAAAGCCTGTTGCTTTAGAATCACAATTAGATACAGTCCTGCCCATAGCATAAATACAAACTCCATCTGATGGCTTGTTCAAGGAAATACTTGTCTGTCTGTTTTTTAATTCATGTTCTGAAGCTCTGAACAAGAAAACACTTGTCTTTAAAAAAATTATCTTCAACCTGTAATTAAAAAAAAAAAAAAAACTTAAAAACATTAGCAAGCTCATCCTACAGCGTGACTTCGAGCACACAAACCAAGACATTTGCTCAAAGTGTAAGCAAGAAAACTTTTGTTGTCCTGTGAAGAAAAACTATATGCAGAAGGACTGTGATCACCCTGTGAACAGGAAAAGGGTTTTTTGACTGAACCACTTTATTTTTGAACAGAGCTTACTATGGCCAACAACTCGGATACAAATTTCCTCCCCGGTTATGTGCGCACCGTAGCCCCGTACTTTAGACAGATAATAATAGTTAATAGAATGAAACTTCAAGAACAGGAGATGCAAGCTGATGCAAGATTACTTTTACTCTACAAATGAGAAACATAGATTATTAATGTCACTTCTTAGCATCCCCATTTCTTCTCAAGAAGACATACTACCATATTCTAACTCTGTCCACAAGTAAACTTAAAAGAAAGCATTTAAGCTTCCAGACTGAATGCTCTGTGCCTGAGGTAACATACCTAAAGGAAATCTAAGTGAATATACAGCTCATGTAGGTTACTGAGAACACTTGCAAGGATGGCAATGCAAGATCAGGGATTCCTCGCTTTACGCTGGTCTGTACTGCACTGCTAGTGCAATTCAACTCCAGAATGGACTACAAAAATGCATCCAGTAGCTTGGACTGCTTACAGCAAGCCCGAGAACATCCATGTGTGCCAAGCCCATGTTTAACATCAGCTTATTCTTCCTGGTCACACGGCTGTCAGAACGGCAAGTTGTTTACGGGCTCCTCATAAAAGGACCCAGAGAGGATCTGAAGGAAGCCCGAGCTCCCTTTAGAACAGTGACCATGTTTCTAAGGCATCCTGCAGCTGGCAAAACGCATGTCAGGCTTCAGACTGTCCTGCGCTGCTAGGAACGCTATAGACACACTGTGTCTTCTGTTCTTGGCTGCTGACAAGATTACTGCTTGTGAATAAAAGACGTGTCTCTACTAAACGCTGGACCAATGCCAATAACTCATTCACACGGACTACTGGACATACCAGATAGTAAAATCTTCGTTACAATCCACTTGAGCAGAATTTAAACAAATTAGTTATAAACAGCCCAGAACTAAAAGAGTGTTTAGTCAAACGTGAAAAGAGCTTAGGGGAAGATTTCTAGTTTTCCCACTGACATCTTACCCTTTTTGCTTCTACTTGGTCTATATTTTCAAACACCATAACCTTGGAGACAACTTACACAGACACTTACAGCAAAGAGCATCAAGTTAGTTCAGAAAAATATTTTTTTGCATAATAGAAAAACGAAACATGCTTTCATAATGCAAGTACTTCTACATATAAATACGGCAGTAACACCTTTCAGACACAGAAGAATCCCCCGCCCCCCCCCCCCCCACCCCAAAACATGAACAAGCCTGAACTTAAGATTAATTTGAATATTTACCAGATTTTCTTTGCCGTCGTCCAAGTAAATCTGTTACTGTTTTTCGGAATAGTTTAGCTTCTTCTTCATTAGCAAAATTAAGACCAACTTGACATGTCTGAAAAACATTAATATTCCCCCCATCCATGACTAAGAAAATGCTTCAAAGGCTATCTTAAATGTTTTCTTATACCATTTGAAGGTATAGCCAGGAAAAAAAGAAAGAAAGAAAGAAAGAACGAACGAACGAACACCACCACACTGATTTTGGCATCGAGTCTTAATGAAACATATTCTAACTTAGGGATATTCATCTACTAATCAAGTTTCTAAAGCTCATATTTTATTAAATTTGGGCAAAATTTTGTAGGCTGAAATCAAAGGAGAGAAAAAAGCCAAAAGTTGTGCTTTAAGGATACGTGAAACTTCACAAGCATCATCTGCAAGTGAAAATGTATTCAATGTATTATTATTAAAGGGAGCTGAAAATAAAAAAAGTACATTTTATGCATCTGTCTTATGGATTAAATTTTCGAGCTGAGGTATAAAAAAATGGTTTATCAACAAAAATTTTCAAGGAATAATTACTATTGTACTTTTATAAGTAATTTACAGAATTAAGATGAAGACTGCAGTTATATTAGAAACAGCTACTGTGCAAATAAAAGACATTTTAAAATAGGTATTCAAAGATATTGAGACTCACATCTCCAGCAAAGGTATGAAAATATCCTCTAGGACTATTATATACAAAGTTATTGTACAGCTCCTGCTCCCACAATAATTTCCCATCCTGAAAAGAAAAAAAAGAAAAAAGGGAAAAAAGATATTGAAAAATCTTTTGAAGACAAACTGCCAAATTTAACTTGTTTCACAGCAGAACTTATTAAGAGTTTGAAGCTCCATGGCGTTAAGCATCTACCCTGCCGTTCACCCAGAGAAAGGGCTCAAAGTATATTGGAACACGTAGAGGTGCCAGACTATTTCAGGTCACTGTCTTCTGTTCAAATTCCTGCATGTTTTCAAAAAATATCCTTCAAATTCCACAAACCTGCAGCAGCAATACTGGCAGTGGTAACAGTGCCCAGTAATAATAGTGACAGCAATAATATAGTTATAATAGTAATAACAAGAAAGGAGACTTCTACCAGTATGTTACTATTTGAGGGAAATAGTAACTTCAAGAAAACAAAAATTTCACCTCTGTAAAGTTTTATACATTTGAACGGCATTGCAGTTCAGTACCCAAGGAACAAGTTTCTCATTCAAATCTAATAATCAAATGGCCAAACCACAAAGAATGCCAACTGGCATTCTTGAACGAATGACAGAAGTCAAGTCCTGAATGCTCACAGCTAATGAGCTTCTCTTAGCTGTAGAGATAGTGGGAAGCTTTCCAAAGTCTTAGTGAAAGTCAGTAGGACTTGCACTTCTCAGTATCAGTTTTGTTATGAAAATGTGACTTGGGCACTTCAGCTCTCATTTCCTATTCTATCTTGAGTGAAATATTACAGCAGGATCTTCAGTATGAACATACTATCATGGAAAATACTCATTTGTCTTGCAATTTTGCATGCACCAACACCAATCTTAAAGCTTCTTTTTCTCATCCCTACAGAAGACAGCATCTAATTCTAAAACATCAGCCAATATACAGATACCTGCTAAAATTCTGACAACTAATCCATACTGGTGACATTATACTAATATATATAAAATACATATTATAATAGACTAATATACTAGTTTTACTAGTCAGATCAGTAAAAAACTGCTTCTGTGAACTGTAAGAAAGATCATACCTGATCTTTATTTGTTCCATAAGAGCTGACATCTATGAAATAATTAATTGAATTTAGAATAGCTGAGAAAATTGCACAAATACCTATTAATAAGCATTGTAATTGCACTGTTCACAGCATGACATCCATTTACTTCAGAATCCTTGTACAAAGTTGTAGATGCAAGTATTCATTCACCATTTTGAATTGAATTGAACTGAGTTTAAAGAGTCTGAAAAAGGGGAAAAAGCCAAAAAAGCTACTTACCTTGATATCAAATATTCTGATAAAATATGACCTCTGTGGATTGTCCTTTACAAGGCAAGCTACCCCACAGCATTTCTTTGACCACATGGCATTGCGATCTGCTGCATATATTTGAACGACTGCTGAAGACATTGTCTAAAAGGAAAAGTAGCTATTACTTTTAGGATTAAATTACAAGTCTACATTTCATCTTTTAGCAAAGTATCTCTTAATTTTGTTCTTCATTTTAGGCAGCACCTCTGATGATTTCCCAGTAGGTAACATTCCTAAGATCAAACAGACTCCATACCACTTGTATGCATTTTTTTGCAAGGTGATTTAGATGGCTTTAGAAACCTAACAGATCTGTGAGATCTTGGCCATTAAAAGCACACACAACAACAAAACATCACATGGACTGCCTATAACAGGCAGGGAATAACTGCGGTGGTTACACAGAGAAGTCCTGCTGTGCAGCTAAACTTCTTTCTTTTCAGTACTTCAAACTGGATAGAAATGCAGTATTAAGGCTAGGACTGTAAATTAAATAGTGCCTGCAAGCTTTCCCAGATATTGGAATGCAATTGTCTATATTGCTTAATTGTTAGAATGGTCTCTGGCACGATTTTAGTCTATGCCAGCTAGCCAGTTCCGAAAAATTCTTAGGCATGGTTTGGGAATTCATACGAGCTAGAATTATTCCCAGTTGGCAATATGAAACCTTCCTGTTTTTAAATTAAGAAATTTTAGAGAGATGAAGATTATTCCACATCAGATGGCTTCAATGCCTGGAAATGTTCCTGAGCATACTTTATAGTATAGATATAATTTGTGCATAATAAATTATGGACATAATTATGGACCAGAGCATCTCACATGCAAAAAGGCTGAGAGAGCCGGGATTGTTTAGCCTGGAGAAGAGAAGATGGAGGGGGGATCTTATCAGTATGTATAAATATCTGAAGGGAGAATGTAAAGATGGAGTCAGACTCTTCTCCGTGGTGCCCACTGACAGGACAAGAGGCAACAGGCACAAACTGAAACACAGGAAGTTCCATCCGAAACCTTTTTTTTTTTTTTTTTTTCCTCCACTGTGAGGGTGACTGAACACTGGAACAGGTGCTCAGAGAGGTTGTGGAGTCTCCATCCTTGGAGCTATTCAAAAGCCACCTGGACACGGTCCTGGACAGCCTGCTCTAGCTGACCCTGCTTGAGCAGGGCAGTTGCACTAGATGATCTCCAGAGGTCCCTTCCAAACTCAGCCATTCTGTGGTTCTGATTCTGTGTTCTGTCCTTCAGCCTTACTAGGGAGCAAGAACTAAAACCTCTGAAGAATACTTATATTGTAGCCAAGTCATAAGAACAGACACCTTACAGCATCTGTACTGGGACTAACCAGAGGTTGTCTAGCCCAGCACCTAGCTTTCAACAGCAGCAGATGCCTATGGAAGAACATAACAGTATAGCATTATGCCATAGGAATATGTCCTTACCTTCCAGCAGACTGAAGCTCAAGACCCTCCTGAGGGCCAGCATTGATACAGCCTTTGCCAGAGTTTTCCTTTGTGAATTTATCTGAATCCATAGGAACTTTTGGCTAGCAAATCATTGTGCAGGGTTGTATCACAGTTTATTTATGCACTGTGTAAGAGCTACTTCCTTTTGTTTAAAACTTTGCCACCTGCTATTTTCAGTTGATTGTCCCTCCTAGCTCTCGTACTATGGAGGCAGCGTTTATGGTTCCTTAGTTGCTTCTCTGTGATATATATATGCTCATATAGATAGTCTGTCATGGCTGGTTCTTTTCCTCTTAACTTCCTCATTCTTTTGGAAGTGATGCTAGTTTTATTAAATTACTCCTGTTCAAAAATCATTCCATAATTATATTATCCTCCTCACTCATGTGGATCTTACCTAGTTCTACTACATTCTTCTTCGATTAGGGATAAGGATGTTATGCTACAAATCTAGTTTGTTAGCCTTTTGAATATGTGGTCACAGCAATAATGTTTTCTGCTTTTGTCTCTATTTCTTTCCTTTTAAATCACAATCTTTTATTTGCTTCTGACTATGGAACATGAAGTTGATGTTTTCATAGATCTATGCCCAGACCCTTCTTGAAGGATCCTATCCGGTCTGACTAATAGGCTCTATACTAGGTTTTCCCCATCCCCTCTATGAACTTTTGCCTTTATCAACATTGACTACTTGCCAAAGAGGTTGACTCACATGCAATGAAAATGTGTCTTTTTGTATTATAAGATTACCTAAATATCATCATCACCCACATCACACTTACGTTTCAATAGGTTAACAATGATCAAAAGAATCACCATATAAGTTTTTGGGGATTTTCTTCTCAACAAACTTCAATTTTTTTCCTTAAAATAGCATCAAAATAATTAGTCAGACTGTCAGCTACTCCCTAAGGAAGCTTTATAACCTTTGTCCATGAACTGTAATGTAGCTTCCACAAGTTATGGATTCTGCTCCTGTTTTGCAATCATTTCTTCAGAAATACTAAAACCGACTGCTAACCTTTCTGGTAACCTACGGGAAAAGTTTAGCAAGACTGACTCAAAGAAAGCTTTGCTGCTGCCTCTTTAAATGCTCTGCCTCCACAGGGAAAGAAGTATGATTCCACATTTAACCTACAGATTAATACAAGTATTTTAATCAGTATACAAGTATTTTAATACAAGTATTTTAATTTGTCAGATGAGGAAAAGGAATCTTGAATTAGCCATACTACCACCCCAAAGCAGTCAGCTGATAGATGTTGCAGGTATAAGGGATGCTATTCTTCCCTTATATTGCAACTGTAACGGGTAAAGACTTAAAATTTTGGCCACGACTGCCCAGATTTTGTTCAACACTTCTGCTAACTGATGTCTCTCATTTCTGCAATCCCAGCTCATTCTTCAACTGATAATCTTGCAGACACAAAACAACAAGGAGCACAGATGGGCCATTCTACAGTTGTAACCAAGAAGGCATCACATCCAAATACAGCAACTGTCCCACTATCCAAACACAAAATCTTCTCAATCCTCCAAAACAAGTCCAACTCCACTCCCATTAACCACTCAGATAAGTAGGTGGCCTTGGCAGGATTTATATACCTCAAATTTAAAGCACAGAACACTGTGGTTGATCTGTATCGAGAAGGATTTCCTTCCATGTGTTGCTTCCTATTGCATCTAGTGAAAAAGCACCAACTGGATTATTTGAGTAAATAATCAGTAATGGGTTTAACTCCATGACAACAGCCATGAACCAGCACAGAATTCTTCTCTCATTCTTACACATTCTCCAGTCATGGAAACCACCTACCACTTGAGTAGAAAGAATACTACTACACAAAAAAGAGAATATGCCCTCATTCTGCATAATCACGATAGATTTAATTAACACTTAGTTGGTCTGTGGCATGTAAAGCTTACTTGGAATGTTAAAGAACACTTTCATTGAATCTAAAGTAGGTGTTGTTTTGAGACTTGCCAAGCCTAGAATTAAATTATATTTTAATTTATTAATTAGTATTATGTAAATCCCTACTATTCAATGAGGTTTTCACATACTAGAACAAAATTATGAATTCCACTGTCATGCCCCTACTATTTTTTTACTAAAGGGTCAACACAATAAATAAATCGGGATGAGGGCAGTGGATTAGGGAAAAATCCAGCTCCTTTACTCAGCTACTGTTCTTTTTCACTATACCCAGCAGTGCTGTCATTGCTTTATCTTACTCAGTTCCTGGAAGGTGGCAAAAATATTTAGTTTCTCATCATTCACTGACTTCAGAAACTTAGAAACTTACGTAAAACTCGTAACTTGCAAAAATACACGACCATAAACGTCACTGCTTTTCATTATAAATCCCAGTCACACAAATTCAATTAAAAACTTTTCAACTTTAATTGCAGAATTGCAGGGTCTAAGAACACTTAAGCAAGTGTCATAATTTAAATATTCAATTGAATGCCGCTTCAGAAAATGCAATTTGTCTGTTTTGAAGTCAATCGTTACATACAACTCATTTCTCACACAGCATTCCTGAAAAGAATGCTGCATCTAAAAGTATGTTTGTTTGGTTTTAATTATGTGTAAGTGTTTCTTCAAGAGAGGTCACGCCACTGACTTTACCAAAAAAAAAAAAAACAAAAAAAACCTGAACACAGGAGTACCATTAAATCCTCCAATTAGTGATTTTTTTTTCCTGAGCTATAGTAAATTTTGATGTACCTAAAGCTTTAGTACCTAAAGCTATTACGGTATTTTCAGAAGAAGGATTTTAACGTTGACACTACTACTTTGTTTAATAATTCTGATGATGTCCTTGCCTTTCTTGAACCCCTATAGGGTTCAAAAAGGTGGACAGGGAAAAGAAATGAGCTAGCCCACAAACTGACAACAGTGTGTGTGGTGGGGGGAAGGGGAACACAAACCCTCCGTTCCCTCCGTGTTTCCCAGAGTCAGTGCTCTGTGGGAGGGCATGCCATTGATTGGAGATTTCTGTACTCTTGTCACACCTCTCAAACTGGTTACTTATGAAGCAGAAACAGATCAGTCTTGCCTGTTCTACACTAACTGCTCTGCTGACAGAGCTGGTCTCATCTTTGTGCACTCATATAGCAGAATGTGCATGATCAACACAAGGTTCATGAAACCACCTTCTGCCTGCCGTAACTAACTTGCAGTAGAATAATGTAATCACATCAGCCAGTGTTAGTTTCCTGCCCAGAAGCTGAGCAGGAGGTACCTGAATACTGCAATCAGCTTCCAGCACGAACATTTGTTGAAGTAGCCCGTCAAAGTAATAGCTTACAGTAATTCAGTCTGTTTCTCAAAAAAAAACCTAAAAAGCAAGTCAACAGCACCTCTCATTACAAGAAAGAGCTATCACACTAGATAGCTTTCCAGAAGCCATGTCAACCATAAGCAGAGAAACTACAGGAGACTACAAACATTAAAACTTAGTGGGCCAAGAGTTGTAACGAAGACCAGTTGCAAGGTTATAACAACTGCAGGAGGATGTTTAACCACCTCAGCATACTCCAGAACAGAAAGCTTTGCATGACCCATTGGGATGTTCTTTTGCAGTATTCATATACAGCTGACAGCTGCTTATGGTGCAAAGATCACCGAATTAT